CCCCCCCACCCCACCCCGTGTATTTTTCAGGGCACGGCAGTGACGTCACCCATTCGGGAGCAGAACCAGAGGCTTTCACGCTCTAATCTCTTATGCAACATGTCGTCTCTGTCGACCCCCAGAATCGTATTCCGTGGCCAAACCAGCGACTCCTCGAAAGTGTCCATCGTCCGTTATAATCGAGAGACGAAAACCGCGTTACTGGGATAGGGAAGGGGGGAGGAGAGCAAAATGAACACTGTCGCCTCTCGCCATTTCGAGGCTCACGTGTTGCTGATTCCTCTTAAATTTAATATTTCACGCGGTGGCTGAAAGTCCACATTTCCCACCACTGCTCAAACGCTTTAGTGTGTGAACGTAATCTCGAAGTAATTGGAGACCGATCTTAAGAAGTAGCAAGGCTATTTGCTCGCATTTAGCTTAAAAAGCAAACTACGCGAGCGGTGCGACGTTTCAAAGAATCAATTAAACGATCTGCGACGCGGAGCACCGTGATCTGTCTGCTGTGATAGTTCGGTATTCTACGATTGACAGGGTGCCTCGTCGGTTTGCAAGTAGAAATTCCTAGCAGAGGAGCGACGTGTCTTTGAACGGCGACCAACGAACGAAAACATTGACTCGTGCGACGAGGAACAGAGGGTAAAATTCAATTCCATATTGAAAATTCCCTCGCGAGTCTCGAATCACGACTGCCACCATGTTCCCACTCGTTACCGTGTGTTCACCGTGACAGATCACCTCGCCACTTGATACGACGTAGATACGATGCGAGATCATCCTTGTGATGACAGCACTGACTAAATCTTCTGTTCATCACCCTAAGTCGTTCTCTCATCGACACACTGATTTGTCTCGCAATGGCTGTGAAAGTCACCGAAAGTGTCCTTTACTCACCGGCGAGAACGATGGCTGCCAGGCACAGCAGCACCAGCGAGGACCTCATCCTCGTCCAACGGAAGGAACGGCGCTTCCGGTTCCCGACGAACGTTTTCGTAGTTCACGAGACTCCGATTTATCCACGGCGTTTGACTTGGCCTGGTCCCGGTGTGTCTCTCTCACTCGACGACGGGATATAGTCAGGGTGGGGGAGGGAGGGAGAGGGGAGAAACCTTGTTCGAGCGTTGGGACGAAGAGCTCGCGAGTTTTCCCGGCACCACTTCCGGAAAAGGAAGAAACAGCGAGACGGAGGAAGAAACAGCGCTCGCGGGCGCCCTGAGAGGCAACGTTCGATCGATAGATCGAGGACGAGCGTGTCGGCTTCAAGGACACGGACCTTGAAGGCGTAGGTACCGCTCACGGACTGACTGAGGCCCGACACTCGTCGCGCCTTATATTTCCACCACCACGATGAACCTTGTTGGGCCCCCTCTTTCCTTTTCGTTCTTCGATCGTCGCTGTTCTCCGACGATCGGTACCTCGCTCCTGGCTCCCCGACATGCAGTGGCGTAGGAGTATCTCCGCTGGAAGACAACGAGCCCCCCCGTGGGACGTGTCATTTCGGTTCTCGACGAACTGCTGCGGACGATACGTTGCGTTGGAAGTTTGACACAATGTCAGATATTAGAACATCCACTGATATTTTCGAACAAATCATTCTGATTTCGTTCTATTCTTTTTCCTCTCGTAGATCTTCTAAAGAAAAAAAGATTTTCTTTTTCATTTGGATTTTCTTGGCAAGGGCTTCACTTCGATGAATGAGATTGGATAGAGATGATTGAAACGTTAATAGATAAAATCGGAACAAATCGAACAAGATGTCTGTATGTAATTATGAAAGAATCAACATCTTTTAAATGATTCGCGTGCCTCACACGTTGCTTACAACACGGTTTAAGTCATAATTTTCTTGTTAAAGACGAGATTCCTGATTCTATCTTTCTGAGGAAAATGATAACACAAGAGTAATCGTTGCAGAGTTAACTATATATTGTATGCAATATCTCTTAAAAAGTTGATGGATTATATAGTTTCATGTACCTACTTTATATATTATAGTGTATCTCAGGTGATTTCAAATGTCCTATTATCTTCTCGATTTCGCTTGATGATTAACTGTTTGCATGGAACCGAACGAATTTGCAAAAAATTCACGAGAACTTTCCTTCAAACGTTACGAGTCGAAAGTCTCGAAACTACGTTCGGTCGTTTGATCGTTTCGAATTCACGGTCGCGATTCCACAGCCGCGTATTACTGCAATTTCGACTTAACGATCTCGGCTTAACGATCAGTTTAACGATCCTCGGTGATAAAATCGGCAGATCGATGCGGTGTTTATTGCCCGGAACGTCGTTGCAAAGCAGTATGATTCACGAGTCCGTCGTATTCGTGTGAGGATAAAGCTGCAACGAAATGTACGATTTAATCCGAAGATTCGAACAAACGTCTCGTTATCCTCGAAGCAAAGTACTTTCGAATTATTGAAATGCTTGCGTGCGAATGGGAACAGAATTATGGAAAAGTCGGGGCGACGTCAGTTTGTGAAATTTTTCGCAACGAGGAGAGGGTTAGGTAACAGTGAAAATATACAAGTTTTCCGTCGCTTTGGAAACTCGAGCGCGTCGAAAGTGAAACGACCGCTCGGATGCAACTGCACTCATTCAGCCGTAGGTGCAACGTGGCTGCGATTCCAGCAGCCATTTGCAGTCATTTGTCTTTCTAATTCGATCCAGCCATCGGTAAC